AATAATTTGTAAGTTTCTTGATTATTTATTAGTTAGTTGTAGTATTTTATGACTAAATAAGAAATATTTTACAAAAATATAGAAATTTCAAACAATTCTATCAGAATTTTCTAACTAAACTTATGCTCTTTACTCAGAATTCTACACTTCTTGCTACATTTGCTTATATATATAATTGGCTGTCAAATATAAAGAAATTGTTACATAAGGTTCCAGAATATTATAGTCTTACCCTTATCCTTATAAGCATTCAAAAAAATATTTTAAAAAAATGTTATCTTAAAAAATTATTTAAAAAATATTTTAAAAAAATTATTTAAAAAAATATTTTAAAAATATTTTAAAAAAACTTATTAAAAACAAGTATTAAAAAAAATTATTTACAAAATATTATTAACGAAAATTTAAACTCAAAACTTTTTTAATAAAAAAAAATATTATCTTAAAAAACTTTTATTTTTTTATTTTACGGATCACCCTAATATTCGTACGTATAAACTCACTCGAACTATATCTAACACATTTAACTGCATACCCCACTCGCATGTCCCGTCTATGCGCCAAGCGCGAGGATAAGTACTGAGACGCACACTTTGGAGGACTTTCTGCCGCCGAGTGGTGTCTACACAAGTGAACTGCAGGCCCGCAGCAGGCAAACTACTAGTACATACATATGTATGTGTAGGCGGGTATATGTTCATTCATACTTGACATTTTGAGTTGGGTGCGACGGCTGCGACTGACTGCTGATGAGCACATTTCTGCCCGTTTCACTTGGAAACAACACCCGTAATATAAACAAAAAGGAAGCACACACAAGCATGTGACGGCGAAATGAATGGCAATGTAAATTTCCTTTATGCGGAGATAGTTAGCTGCCTGCACTTGAATTGATTTGTAAAGCAGCATTTGACTCGACTGTCACACAAAGAAAAGGCCGTGCAAATATACATATGTACAAGTATATGTGTGCACGCGTGTGTGTGTGCGTGGAAGGAAAAATGGCTCAACAAACAAGCGCCAGTCAAGCCAGCAACTGATAGCCAACTTTATGCATACAAATGTATAGTATGTGGGAGTTGGATTTGACCAGCTTTTTTGTCGCACGCCGTCGTGACGGTTGCGTCGCTGTTGGTGGCAATGAAAACGAAATGAGTTTAAAAAAACTGCAGTTTCTATGCGTTGGTGGTGCGGTGCAGTGCGGCGCGTTGTGAAAGTGAAAAGTTTCTAGTTTGACACTAATGTCAATATGAAGGTGAGTGATGTCGATAATGCTGCTGCTGGTGGGCGCACATCACTTCGGGGTTATTATGTTTGTTTTGACAGTGGCACTGAGCGAGGGATTTCTGCAGCTAAAGAAAGCAGTATTTGAAAGCGAAAGCAGACATATGTATGTCACGAAAAAGACAGTGCTTGCATGGACTTGTGAAGTTGAGTCGTAAGTAAAGCGTGTGGCAAGTTTCGAATTTAATACTTGATGGCTTTCTAGAGTCCATTTAAGTGATAACGGTAGCATGGCAGTAAATTGAGAACAAATAGATTGTAATAGTAAGGCGGCTAAAGGCACACATGATTCTTAGTTGTAGTTCTCTTATTAAGGTTTGCCTAAAATAGTAAGCAAATGAAAAGCTCGTTTCTTGAAGGAGAATGTAAGAAAAATCTTAAAAATTAATTGCTAACAATCGAAGAGGAAATCATAAGGCAAGAAATTCCACATAAAATTGGAAATAATAAACTTTTCCGATTATTATATAACGGTTTTCGTTAATAAATAATCGTTTAATTCAAATGCCGAGAGCTGCGCGGAGAATATATGTATATTAGATACTTTTGATATACATACATATGCATATCCAAAAAAAAAATAATAATTTTTGAAATTCACAAGCGGAGTGGACAAGAAACCTCAAAAGTTATCGACATATTTTAATTATGCTGTTGTTTTTAATTTAATATAATAGCAAGTGCTGACTTTCGATCAAAACCAATTTATCGAAATCGATTTTAATCGATTACCTAAATTTTTATCGATTTAAATAATACTTTTGTTCACTGACAGAATGGGTATGAACTGCGTTTTTTTCCTCTCAAACAAAATTATTCTATTCCTGACTAATTCAAAACATAAGCGATATTATAAGATTGCATTTTCTAATTTTTTGGTATATGTATATAGTATGTATGTATGCATGATGCCATATATTTTCATATAAAGCTGTTAAGCTTATTAAAATCGAGAATATCAAATCTTATCACATGAGCAAGTGTTGGCTTTCAATTAAAACAAATTTATCGAAAGCAATTTTTATCGATTACTTGAACTTTTTATCGATACATATTTTTTTATTTAAAGAAAGTTTTTTCGCTGACGGAATGAGTAGAAACTGCGTTTTTTCTGATATAAAATTATATATCGATAAATATTTTTCGACTTAAAAAAGCTTCTTTTCTTCTGAAACAAAACACAACCGATATTAAAAGTTAGTATTTTTATATAAACTGTATGTTAACATTATATTGTTTTTACTGAAGTTATTTTTACTGAAATTATTCCTTTTTTTTAGATTTTTGTTTTAATTTTTAACTTTTTTTAAACTAGTTC